CATCACTTAGCTTTTAGGTTACGTTATTTATTGGTCACAATTACCCGATAATTGATCAATTGGTTACAATCACTTCATCACATCTATTTATTCCTCACCATTTATTTGTTGTTTTATTTTTAATTGAAAATTTCCAAGGCCTTTACCTCCATTTCTGGTTTTGACATCACCAGTTCAACAACTCTAAAGTGAGCATTGCACCGACAGAGTGTGTGCAAATAGTAGCATTGCACCGACAGAGTGTGTGCAAGTAGTAGTATTGCACCCACATGTCTTGAACTTTTCATATGAATTCTTAAGAATTTATGATAACCCCTATATTTTTGGGTTATTCTTGAACTTAGAGTTCATCAACTCTTTCGTAGTTCAATCTATTATCGAGTCCTTCGTGAAAGTCTAAATATTTTCAAAATAGTGGTCGTCGATTAACACAAAAGAAAATCATTTTCCATTCGAAATTGTATTTCAATCAACTATCTTTAATTTGATCATCCAAATTAAATTAAAGTCATCATTAAGGTCGTCACACAGACCAACAATGATTTCAAAACATATACCAACTTAGTTGGATCAAATTGAAGTCAATTTCAATAATGAAGAAGATTAAGCATCTTGATTCACAAGACTTGCAACTTTCCCAAACATATATGATTTTATCACATTGTGACATTTCACAAAATTGTACACCATTCCACGTCAAATAATACGGTATATTTCATCTTATTTTTCATAATAGAAAAGTTGTGTCACAACCTTACAAGAGGACACACCTCTAGAATATTTCATAATATTCTTCACAATTTGTATAACATGGTTTTTATCCTTTACAAATTGATTATTTTCAGGGATATCTGGCATCATCGCCAACTATAGACACCATTTGTGCTTTATAAAATATTTTCACATCCCAATAATTGGGCAAGCAATTTTTCACTTTGAGAGTGTACATGAGTGGAAAGAAAAAAAAAATGTATGAGTATGGAGAGGAAATAGAATGATATATAATTTTAATTATTGAGTGGTTATTATTGGTATATGTATTAATATATATTAAAAAATAATTATAACTTGATTAATGAAAGATTAAACTTAAAATTTGACTAACGAAATGTAAGCTTTAAAAACAAGCCTAGGCGTAATTTTCTCAATATGAAACCCTAGAATGCAGAAATTGAAGATCGTGAAGATGGTTTTTTGGACAGAATGTATGGATGGATTACAGAATGAGATACGATTTGGTGTGTTCTTGGAATGTATTGAAGTTTTTTCCGTGAAAGAATCTTGAAATTGATTGTTTGGAACTCTAGTGGTGAGACAGTAGATTAAGGATTACTATGGCGAGAATTGGAGTGGGTTACGTGGCTTGATTGGTGGAATGATTTCAGCTTTGAAAGAATTAATCAAGGGATTGATCATATTTTCTATTTATACTACAAATAATGCAGTATATTTGGATAAAAAGATTGTGTTTTGTGAAAAATGAATTTTTTCTAATTTGTATGTGGTGAAATTTCCTCAATTAATTATTGATTTTAGCATAGCCCTTGTTTGGTTCAAATTAAAATTTATATTTTAATCTAAGTCAATGTCAACAATCAATTTTAACCATATATTTTATGGGTTCCACAATTTTCCAACCATACATTTCATCAATTTCCATCAAAATTTACTAAAAAATTGATTTTATTTCCCACCAAATAGGGGCTAAATTAAAATTATTTCTATCAAACATTCTAAAAATAGACAGGAACATGATATGAATTTTCCATGGGAAAGCCTAACTAGTTGGTTAACATTCTTTCTAGTCAATAGACAATTTAGCCATAGAATATCTTTCTTAATACTTTTTAGAAGTCATTTTCCCGCATCATTTTCTCCTTTCCCAAGGGATCGACAAGCCTTGACGGATTCCAAAGAAGACGTTTAATGATTTTTCGGATGCACAAGAACCCCTAAAACTCATGTCTTGGATGCGTAAATTGGGTTGAACCGTTTAGACTCCAACATAGTCTCGAACTTCTGATACTAGACTTAAAAATCTTGAGAGAGGCGAGCCACCAGAAATATTTACGTAGAGAGATGAACATAAAGGGTGAAGTTGGTCAAGGCCCACCTCAAACCTCAAATAATTTCTTTTTGAGCATTAATGTATTCCAACCCCATATTAGGTGCAACTGCCTTTTTATGAACCCTTTCTTTCTACTTCATTAAGATCAAGTATGAAAGGATTGAACATTATCGGACTTTCTACTATTTGTTGTAATTATTGATTACAGCGACACAAACAACGCACGTTTTGTATACAATATTACTAGAGTATGCTATTTTAACTTTCGTTTTCTTTTCATATTTATTATTATCCATCATTTTACATTCACCTTACAAACGAGCAATATGGTTGCACTATAATAGTGAATAACACTACCTTGCTTACGTTAGATTTTGTGCCCCAAATTTAGGGAGGATTTTTCTGGAAGAAATTATTTCCTTTTTTTAACATGATTTTATTGGAAAAATATTATTTCCTTAATTCCACATTTATTTTTTATGTTATTTCTATCTTTGTGGTATGGTACGTATTTATAATAGCGGACTCGTTATTCAGTTGTCTACAAAAAAAAATTTGTATTGTAATTTTCTCTCTATATTGTTGAATAAAACATAGTTCCTCAGTTCAACTCTCGTTTATTTCTTTACTCTTAATCGTGTTTCATTGTTGTGATTTTCCTTACTTTACATTGCTCCATTAAATCTCAATTCTTACAAATATTTTGCAGGACATCTCGAAGGAGAAAACGATAGCTGCTTTGTGGTTAAAACTAGAGCAAATGTGCATGACTAAAAGTCTCACTAGCAAACTGGCTCTAAAGCAAAAATCGTATTTCCATCGCATGGTGAAAGGAGGATCGCTAGAAGACTAAATTGTTGTGTTCAAAGAAATTGTCGCAAATTTAAGACATTAGAAGTTAAGTATGAAGAGGAGGATCTGACCTTATTCATGTTGTATTCACTGACCGCCTCTTATTTGTAGTTTCAGGACACGATCTTATATATTTGTGACACGATGACCACTGAAGATATTTACAACGTTCTATTTTCAAAGGAGAAAATGAAACATCTGATGAAAGTTGCGTCTAGGGGATGAGGAAGCTCTTGTATCTCATGGTAATTGACAGAGACGCATATCAAAAGTCAACTTTAGCAATTTATATTGCTTTCAACTGCAAAAAGAAAAGATACGTTAAGAAAGATTATGACAATTTGCAAGATAAAGGAAACCTTTCCTGCCAAGCTTTGAAATGTGTGAGCCAACTTTAAGAAAATGTGATGCCTAAATATTTGGCTTCACTATTCATGAATAATGGCATTCACCATTCAATAATGATTGTGTGAAGAATAATTATTACTCTGTTACATTTCTAAAAGGACAATTATATTTACGCCCAATTTTTTATTATTTATATTGCATTTTAATCACAATGAATGCTCCTAATGTTTACTATTTTTTCACTTATGTCCTCAAATTTTTTCCATCATATTCTTATTCTCAACCTTCTAATTTGCATATTTCTTATGACGATTTCCATATAAAATGATTTATTTGCCTTGTAGTTTTAATTAAGCAAAAAATATATAAAAAAAATGCAAAAAATTGATAAAATACTTGTTCCTAATTTTTATGTATGTTAATTGAATACTTGAAGAGGAATCATCATAAGAAACAAGATGTGCTAATTAACAAAAAGTTTAGTGTAAAAATGCGAATAACAAAACTTTAGGACACCAGTGCAAAAATTAAGGATCTTCATTGCGATTGAAATGTGGTGTAATTTAAAAAATATGTGACGTGAATATAGTTATTATATAACTATTCATCTAAAAAGTGAAATTAAGGATCTTCATTGCGATTGAAATGTGGTGTAATTTAAAAAATATGTGACGTGAATATAGTTATTATATAACTATTAATCTAAAAAGTGTTAAAGTGGGTAAAATATGTATGAATAATAATATCCGTGCTCATGTTGGAAATTACATTCTAATTTCGCCACTTATTCCACTCTCTCTATTTTTTTTTCTTTGGATCCGATGGTGGCCATAGGAGATTAATTTTTGGATTTGGAAGATGCCTCCATATTTTTTTCGTCACAACTGAATTTAAATCTTTGATTAATGGCAGAATTCATCTAATGTATGATTTTATTGTAGGATAATTTAATACTTTAAATTACTGGATCTTTCATATTAAATCATCGAGAAATATAAGAATTAAAGCGGAAGCATACCTGAATTTGACATGGTTAATGCAATATGGATTTCGCGGTATGATCTTCTAAATCTACACGCAGTCTCCTTTTCCTCTCTGTGATGGGATGCAGTAGAGAATGAATAATTCGTTGCGTGTGATCTGGGAACCATAACCTATTTATATGAGGATGCCCTTTGACCTAATTCGGCCCATCATAGAATTAGGATTTGAGCCCGGTCTCTACACATATGTAAACCCATACTTTAATTGGATACATTAAAGCCCAAAACCAAAACCTTATTAGATCACTTTAATCGGGCTCGACCAAATTCGATAGCCTATAATTTAACACACAATTATTTATACATACAAGCTCATCTTTAATTAAAAAATCCTTACATTTATCCATTAATTTGTTTCACAACGAATTTGATAAAAATATTTTAAAAATTAGAAGGGCAAAATATTTATTCCACTATTTTTAATTAAAAAAAACTGGTCCCTCAACTTCCCTACCACTGCCATAGCCACCAGAGTCTCTCCTAGAACCTCATCAGTAGGACGTTTTCGGAAGAACTGGGGCTTAAAATGTCGGAGCTCGAAGTTTTGAACGTGTACAACAATAATTTCAATGGAAATCTCCCTGTGGACTTTGTCAAGTTGAAGAAACTGAAAATTCTTAAGCTCAGAAGGAATTATTTTTCTGGGGAAATCCTGAAAAATTTACTCTGAATTTGAAATCAGCACTAACTTTAAGGAAAGAAGAAGGATGCATTTAACTTGTGGAAAGAGGTTGAAAATAGAAGGTAAAAGAAAATTACTGGTGTGCTGAATTTATTAAAACTAGACATGATTAAAAATGAGCGACATGGATACTTGATGCTAAATACGAAGACCAGACGAATTATTAGACACTACATGAAATTATCTCGCATGTGTGAAAAAGAAAATTGCATCTAAATTGAAGTGGTAGAGGAAGCTGGGTCTGGAGGAACGGGGACTTCAACAGATCCTTCCATAAGTTGCAGCACTCTCTTCATGTTAGGCCTTAATTCTGGATCCTCCTGAATGCACCAAATTGCTATCATCACAAACTTGTCAAATAGCTTGTCGCTTAATGCCTCCTCGTCGTCGTTTGCCACTAACAAATGCATTTTTCCTTCCTTGTAACAATCATAAGCAAAATCAGCAAGTATCATTTCCCTCTCAGCCTCAACCTGGGGTTCGTAATTTCTTCTGCAACAGAGAAGCTCGAGCAACAAGATTCCGAAGCTGTAAACATCAACCTTGACTGTAATCGGCATGTTTCTGAACCATTCTGGAGCGACATACCCTTTGGTTCCCCTTATTCCCGTGGTGGTTCTTGATTGATCTGGCTTCAAAAGCTTGGCTAATCCAAAGTCTGATATTTTTGCCGCTAAGGATTCGTCCAAGAGCACATTTCTGGGCTTAATGTCACAGTGTATGATTTGATTTTTACATTCTTCATGCAAATAGCGAATACCTCTCGCTATTGCAAATGCAATCTGCAGTCTTTTGTACCAGTTGGGCCTTGAATTCTCAAATAGAAAGTTTGCAAGAGAGCCATTGCTCATGAATTCGTATACCAAAAGCCGGTTTTGCTCCTCATCACAATATCCCAGCAATTGAACTAGGTTTTTGTGATTAGTCCTGCTAATTGAGCTTACTTCTGCTTTAAATTCTTCCTCACCTTCTGTAGCCATCTTATGCAGCTTTTTTACAGCAACTACCGTTTCAGTATTGTCGGTCTTAATAATTCCTTTGTGTACTGTTGAATAAGCACCCCTGCCCAATTCCTCCTTGAATCCATTTGTTGCTTCTTGTAGCTCTTTGAAACCGAATCTTCTTATGTTCAGGCCCGGAAGAACTTGATGTGGTCGAATCATCTTCGATTTTTGTTGACTGAAACAGAAAGCATACAAGCAGATGGATGAAAGTAGGAGCAAATTAAGAAACATGGAACTGCCCAAGAAAACTGATCCGGCGATGATTGGAATGGATCGTCTACTCTTCTTAGAGCCAGAGGAGTCTGCTGTTGCATTGCTGTTTCTTATCTTTATTAAAGATTTCCCCTCTACACTAACATCGACTTTCCCGTTGGAGAAAGGATATCTCTTCTTCGTACATGTACCGTCAAAAAATCTCGCAAGGGCACAAAAACAATCATCGAGGCAATTCTGTCGACACCATTCTTCTGTGACTTTCGGGAAAGAAGCGTAATCGGAGAAAGGCCAATCTGTATTGGGCATTTCTTTGAAACTAAAAAGGTCAGTTTCAGGTGCCTCTTCATCACAACTTTGGGGAGCGAAAGTTGGTTTGCAATCACTCATGCTATCATTTGGATCTATGACAGAGTAACCAGTAGGGCATTCACACTTCGGTATTTGATCAGTTCCCAATGTGCAGAAACTATTAAAACCACAAGCACTGCTATTTAAACTTATCCCCATACTCAGGCATATATTCTCAGGTATGAAGTGCATGGTAGACCACCCCATTGCTCTACCATGTGCTGAATTAGCAGACTTAGGGTAGACATAATGTCTTAGAACCCCATCATATTCCAGTATTGCTCTCTGGTAAAACTGACTGGTCGAGGTCGAAGTCGAGCTTGAAGACATAAAATTGAGGGCACTTCCATTTTTTGTTTCCAGAAATATGTCGCCTGACTGGTTGAAGATCACTTGGTTGCCACTGCCCACAGTTTGAGTTGACCAAAAAGCAAATTTTGGATCGTTGTTGGGGAAATTTCTGGTGTAAGATACAAGATTTCCATCAATTTGTAATGCGAAGAGGAATCTTCCTTTTGAAAAGTTTGTTTTAGAGAAGCTGGAAACAAGTTTGCCATCTTGATTCAGTGTCTGTGTTGGTAATAATGTATCAGTTGGCTCATCAAAACTCTGCCACAAAGCACCTGAGCTGCTGTTTGCTAACACAAAATTACCAGTGTCAAGCATGGCTCCATATGCCACTCCATCACGAGACGTAGCAGCAGCAGTCCATTTAAAGCCACCTCTAATATCACTCAGTTCAAACCTTCCATCTGCAAATAGTTGAATTTTTTATCCTTCTTGGACAAGATTATCGCGATTGGCCGACCAAACAATGGTTCTTTCGGGTATTTTGTTGAACCAGATTGCCAGTAAGTAACCTCCACGAATGATCTGCTGGAAGCCAAAAGCAAATTCTTCAGATGGTGATAACCATGTGGAATTTTTATTGTTTGCAGTTATTGATGAACCCAAAGTAACATTCCTGTAAGGCTGAGCTGTGGCTGAGAGTGGTAATAAAAACAGTAGGACAAAAAACATTGTAATTGAAACTGGTTAAAAATGATTTTTCTCAAAAGAATTGATTCAATTGAGACGTAAGTTTTGTATTAGTTATTTTTATCATTGCAGGTGAACTTATAGGCGTAGAGAGCCAGGGGACTTTCAAGGTCTACGTAAGACTTTACGATCCAAGGAGATAACTAATTGAGTAATGGGAGTTGTTGTATAATTACTCTTGTAGGGACAAACCTCATCTCTATAGACCTAAAAGGGGTTGAACGGTCAAAATGCATGATTGACAAAGTCACCCATGCCTAATGAGCCGGAACCACCTTTGGTTAAAACAAAATTAATTAATTTACAATTTAATTAAAGAGGTCAGAAGAAAATAATTCTATTCCAATCAAATTCATTATTCTCCTTAAGACAATTTTGCTCCTCTAGTGCTCGAAGTTGTGAGTAATTATCTTCCATCATATAACAAATTTTTGTCTAAAATGTCATCAGATAATCAAGGATATTAGTAGAATAACTGGAGTTGAATATTTCTTAGGTATGAATTGGTCAAAGATTGCTGTGGTAATACGTTTCGATTACTGGTCAGAGTCTTAATCTTCGAATTATGGCATACTTCTCGAACAACAAGAGTAATAATACAATTTTCGATCACACATTCACACAATAAAATATTTTACAAGAGAATCCAAAATTTTTCCCTACTTTTTTACCACATACATTTTCTCCTAAAAAATATTCAAAACTTTATTTTATTTTTTATTTTTTGGGAATCGAGTAGGGACTAAAATGACATTGATGAATGAAAACACAATCAATTTTCGCGTTGAGCCCCAATTTTCATTAAAAACACATTGATGATTCCCAACAAACTTTGACTCAGAAAACATTAAGCCCTCGTATGAGCCCCAATTTTCATTAAAAAAAGGAAAAAAAAAAGAAAAAAAAAAAGGAAGAAGAAGAAAAAGAAAAAAAGGGAGTTATGTATAGTGATCTTTTAGAGATAGTGTTGTTAGAAAGTATGAAAATATTTTGAGTTCACATGTAAATTATTGTTTTGAAAGAATGTATAATTGAAAATGAATATCTGATATGTAAAATGTTGTTTTTAGTTTTCATAGTTATTTTAAAAAAATAATTCAAGATAGACAATAGGCATTATTAACTGACGTGGATATAAATGGTAAGGTATACGTTAGTTTTAACATCTAGGTCAATATATAACATTAGTTAAATTGACATGGACAATTACAAATCGAAGTTGGGTGACTTGATTGCACCACATATCAATTGTTGATATTACTTACCACGGTAAACGTAAGTTCGACCAAATGGATTTAAAACATGTTAACATAGATAATTGTTAGATTATGTGAAAATACAAATAAGAATGAAAAGTTTTTGTGATTGCATTAGATATATCAAGACTTATGCTTAGTAACCTTTGAAATATAAGCTAATATAGGACTCCGCAGCTGTAGTGCGATCGACCCCAATTATGACTTTGGATCATTTCGAAGGCCTCAAAAAGGAGTAACAGTGGTAGCTTAATCAGCTCCTTTGGGTCCATATCTCACTAGTTGCCATGCATACGCCTCATAAACCCAGAATTTTTTTTGCTCATTTTTAACTATATATTCTTTAAAAAATCACTATTACAAAATATATTTTCATAAAAATAAGGCTCAAACAAACCATTAATAGTTGTCGGACCATCATGTCAATTTAGATAATTAATACAATATTAAAAAATAAAAAGAGATTCAACATCAACTTCCCAACAAAAACTCGATCTCATCTATACAACATGAGCTCATCCTCTTGGATTCAGTCTTACTTCCTCTTATCGTGATCTTACCTTTATAGGCTTCCACTCATTCTCTCGCCAGTTAAATCAAGTGATAATCTATCTCGTCTTCTTGAACACGAGTTATTTACTATGTCCCTTTTATTTCATGTTTTGTCGAAATATTCGAACGTTTTTTAAGTAGGGATTTTCTCCAGGACAACTCAATCGATTGCTCCATGTGGATCCAATATCTTGGTTTCATGATTATGCAACAAGCAAGATGGAGTTTTGCAGGTAAAAGAATTGGTAAAATGAGGCATTGGCAGAGAATAGAACAAACATGACATGTGGGTTATAATGACACCAACCTCTTTGGCATTTCAACCTAACTTGGGAAACACACCAAAACTATTACCTTATAGATTCCTTAGAAAAAGGTACAATTATTTCATCTTTTCAAGGTTCAGTCCCCTTTATTTAACATTATTTTCATGAAAATTTTATTGTTATTAGTTAATAGTCAAATAATGAAGTATCCTAATCAATGGATCATAAAAGCTTGTTAGTTAATAATCTCGTAGTTTATCAGCATTCGACTGTTAGACGAATACAATTCGATATCGAAGTTGATAAGAAGTCACCAATTCTGCTCCTTTTACATAAATAATAGTAGTGTGGCACTAATGATTACTTGAATCGAATTTTAGGAAGGTGAAGTGCATTACGTAGGTACGATGTTAATGAAATTACTCTTTTAAAAATTGTTTGGCGCAGCTTAAAAAACTTTCATATGAATAAACTGAAATATTTGGCCAAAATACCTTACTTTTAAGATAAAGTAGTCTTTGCATATGTGGAAGCAGCACCTCAATCGCACAAGAAGAGATGAACAAAACTCATATCTTTTTCCTCAAGCATTGACACAATCATATTTGAACCACTTTAAGTTTAAAAATCATCCTCATACTTCTAAAATTTGTATGATGATTTTATATCTTTCCATGGATCATAAGAAATGCTTTTGTGACTTTTTATGAGGTACTCTTTTGAAAATATAATTATTTTATTTTATTTTTATAAAGTAAAGTAATAGTATTCCCAAAAACCCTTAGAATAGACAAAAACTTCGCTCGAGCATGTAATTTGCAAACAACAATGCAACCACATTAAGCCTCCGTTTGACAATCAATTTATACATGAATCAAATCAAATATTCACTTAAACCACACACTCATGACTGTTACTTATTTATTTTTCACATGTTTTGTGGAACCCACGTCTATTCCTCTCAATATTCCTCCATACAAATTGATTTATAAATTTGTCAAATCTAGGCTAAATGATATTAATCATGCAATCATGATAAATAGGTTACAACTGACATCACACTTTCCTCTATATGCATAAGGAATGACAACATGGCAACTGGGAGGGGAAAATTGAGTTGAACTGAGGCATTATAGGACTCAGCAGAGTAAATATTTAAACCATGTGATGAATAGAACCTAGAAAAACCAAGAAGAAAGATTCAATCTCAGATTAACTTAAGCAACTAAAAAAGTAATTTTTACAAAAAAAATGCTATCTTTAAAGCAACTGCGAAGAGCCCAGATGAAGAAACCCTAAACAAAACGAAGTTAAAAACTAAAAAGTGAAATTTTATTTATTTATTTTTTAAAATGAAAGTCTAGGTTAGGTTTCTTATAAATATTATGGTAATTATATTCAGTAATTATATTCAATAATGCGCCTGGTGAAAAATCGCTGTGATGAAAAGATACTGCAAATTCTTGTTTTAGAATTAGTGAAAATGTTTAAAGAACGAAAAAAAAATGAGAAGTACTATTGGAATGATAAGTACGCCACAAATTTATTTATTTATAGTTTTTATTGAATTATGAGTATAATTGTAAATTTGTTGTGGTGTATTTATTAAAAATATATTTTAACTGTAGTGTAATTATAATGTGGGGTAGAAAATAAATTTTATAGTGGTAATATAATTACCCGTTTTCTAATTAGTTGGCAAACATTCTCTCTAGTCAATAGACAATTTAGCCATTGAACGTAGCTAATCTTTCTTAATACTTTTGCAAAGTCATTTTCCTACATCACTTTCTCCTTTGCCAAGGGACAGCCCTTGACATGTTCCAAAGAAGATATTTAATGATTTTCTGGGCCCGCAAAAACCTCTAAAACTCCCCTCTTTAGATGTGTAAAAAGGGCCGAACCATTTAGACTCTGACATTGCCTAGAACTTTTGACACTAAATGTCTCTTTAGACGTGTAAAATGGGTCGAACACGTATGTACTCTCACAAAATCTAGAACTTTTGGTACTAGCCTTGTATTTTTTATGTTTTAATTTTCTTAAAAATTAAAAAAAATATTAGAAAAATGTCGAGAGGACCAAGCAATTCAACCAAATCACCTTGGACCTATGTGACACAACGAAAAATAAGGAATTCAAGCAAAAGCTTTAAGAGCAAAAAATTTGGAATTCACCAAATTATGAAGAAAAATAAACTTACGAAATTTTATTATTGAATGATAAAAAAACAAAATAACCCCCTTATTTATAAGGGTTTACATGAAAACGTAGTTTAAATCAACTAAAATTAATGAAAATAAAGTTTGAACAAACTAAAATTGAAAGAAACAAAAAAATAAACGAAATGACAAAAATAGCGCCAAAACTTTAAAAATCAATATTCGAGTACTAAACGATCTGGAATGGCCGAAATTCATCGTACGTCACAACATAGTGGTAAGTATTTTTCGTCCCATCGTCCTCTTTTTAGAATGATCTTATGGGTCCAATCCAAAATTATGATGTTTTCCCTCAACTAGTACATTTTTCCAAACATGTCCTACATCACTAAGTATCTGGACCCCACTCACCTGTACAATTCTAAACCGGCCAAGAATATTCAACAACTGCCTTTGAGGGTTAAAATAAGTAGACAAGAAACTAAACGAGAATACTTTAATTTCAATAATCTTTTGTTCCATGCATGTTTCATTCCAACTACTAAATTGATTTAATCGGAATGATTCATTGAGCAACATGAATCGTGCATATTAATGTAATGAATCAACAGTAATTTTAAGGAAATAAAACTGAGGAATTGACTTCCATGAAATGAATATAAGAAATTGTAGTGAAGTTCATGCAGTACTCTTGAAGGGTCAAACAAAAAGAATGTCTTTATTAATGAAAATAATAAAATTATAATGGTTCAGCTACTAAGGCAATTCTCTAATTAAATCCTCATTTGATAGAGATTAAAATAAGATTTTTAGTAGATTTAGATAAAAGTTGATGAATTGGGCATTGAAAGTTGAGGATCCC